CCCTGCCTCGTGCCCTGTGACGGACCGGCATCCCGTCCAGGGTGTCCCCTGCCTCGTGCCCTGTGACGGACCGGCATCCCGTCCAGGGTGTCCCCCTGCCTCGTGTCCTGTGACGGACCGGCATCCCGTCCAGGGTGTCCCCCTTGCCTCGTGTCCTGTGACGGACCGGCATCCCGTCCAGGGTGTCCCCCTGCCTCATGTACTGTGATGGATCGGCATCCCGTCCAGGGTGTCCCCTGCCTCGCGTCCTGTGATGGACCGGCATCCAGTCCAGGGTGTCCCCCTGCCTCGTGTCCTGTGACGGACCGGCATCCAGTCCAGGGTGTCCCCCTGCCTCGTGTCCTGTGACGGACCGGCATCCCATCCAGGATGTCCCCCTGCCTTATGCTTCCCAGAACAGACTCTGATTTGGAATTTGAAAGCCTATGGGAAGCATGTATTTCACACTACAATGAATGGTTCTCAAAATAGAAACGTGAAAAATTTGATCAATATTACAGCTACATCACTGCTTATTTAACATCAGTATTTATCCTCTATGAAATTAGCCATATACAAATTATTGCAACACTCTGACTGCGAGGAGCCCATCATTGTGTGAGGATTTAGTTGCATCAATCTGCAAATTGCTGCACTTTACTACTAGTGAACAAAACATGAATTATCTGAGTCAGGCACATGGTTCCAGTGAATGTTCTTTAATTGCTTTCATTTCAAAGCCGTTATGGATGGTTTGACTGCAGAAAGCCCTTCCCTTTGTCACCGGCTACACAAACGATTGTCACGACCCGTGACAGGATGTGCTAACGTTGGGGGCCGTCCTCTACGCCTAGGATGTGGTAAACCAGGGGGACTGGCTCAGATATGCTGCAGATCGCAGACGGTTAAGGGAAAGAAGATTACCTAAGAGTGTGTGTACTGTCTGTGCATATGTGTGTGTGTGTGGGGGATTGAGGCAGCCTGCTCCCCACCCCGAAAAGAATGTTAAATTATACACAGTGTGTGTGTGTAAATATATACACACACCTTCCCAGTTAATTGACTCTTGCTTGCTTATGCCACATGGATATCTTTACATTTAACATTCTTTTTACATAGCAAACACGTTTTTTTTTTTTTATCCAAAGTGACATACATTTTTGAGCAAGCAGGACTAGTCAGTCCCTGGAGCAAACGGGGTTAAGGGACTTGCTCAGGGACCCATCGGTGATATTGCTATGCTAAGACTGGGACTTAAACTAGTGACCTCCTGAAGCTTAATGTGCTGAGCCACACACACCCCTGAAACAGCCCCCTCCTAAATGAACCCATCTCACAGTTTCTTCACAATTCCCTATGATAAATATAATTATATTAGACGCTTCGTTTTACCTAGGATGACTCATCACCTAACGCATCACACTTCAGGGACTCTAACCCCGCCCCTTCTGTGTGTGGCTGTGACATGCTCATTGTGTTCCTCCGACCCAATCCAAAAACATCCCCTTAGATGATCTGCTGTCTCTGAATGGCTTGCAAATTTCCGGAGAGATGGTACAATAATGAGAAAGAAAGAAAAATTATATTGGTTATAGACTCACTTTAACTTTCGCCCAATTAAAGGCTGTTCAGTCCTTTTTTTCCAGATGAATAACATTTAAGTTCTTCAGCTCTGCGATTCCCGGATGTCATCTATCGCATACTTAAAGCTAAACACCCCTTTCTTAGTTAAATATGTAAATGCGCTGAATTCCCGGAGCTCGTCGGCCTTACTCACTCTTTCGAGAAAAGGGTTTTAATCGTGTTTTATTATTTTTCCTTTATGAATGCTTTGAATAACATACAGCAGGAAGGCAGGTCTTGCCAATCCCGACGCCCAGTCTCCATGGGCGGAGTTTGGGGGGCTGGCATTGCACATGTTGTGCACTTTGCACCATTGCATGGTCGGCCTGTTGGAATCCTATAGGTAGACAAAATGATAGTTTACGTGTGCATCAGATACATGCGTTAACATATATAAGGTAAGCAAGATTTTTTGCCCTTCTCAGAAAAACGCAACCATCGAACTCCGCTGATCTCTATAGCGCTTAAGTTCCCGAATACACGTTCAATTACATTTCTACCAAAAGGCGTAAATCTGAATCTGACTTACAGAAAATGTAATGTTCGTTATAAACCCTTTCTGTAATTTATGCCGACAGTGTACGCTATTTTTTGTCTTTCCAGGAGGGAAAACCGAACAAATGGCAGAAACTTCAGAAACGGTTCTTGAAATGCACGAATCGCTTTTCGGAATTTAAAAGTATATATAGGGACGTGATCATACATATAAACTTAAACATCTCCGATTAAAGGTGTTGATAAATCTGGTCTGCTTTTTCCCCAGCATAAAACTATTAGGTACGGACGTGATATCCCCATAATCTACAACATCCAAGGTAATATTGTATATGCTGCCCCACAAAATCAATGTACTTTGATTTAAACACACTTACGTGCACATAGGCCTACTCTGAATACAACAGAATTGTATCCTAAAATAATACTGCATCGCATTTAACCTGAACACCAAAGCTGAAGTTATTTGCTTTGTAATTTGAGCGTTTTCTGTGGCTATCATTGTCTCGTAAAATTATTAATCTTGTCCCCTTTTGCCGTCACCTTGGCCCTTCCGATGGGGGAATGGGGGGTCCCGCCAAATGCCTGCCATTAAAGCCCCCTCCTCTTCCTCTTCTCTAAGCTAAGCGGGGATCCGGTCACAGCTGTAACCTGCCTCTCGGCTGTGACACGTTGTCGTGGTAACCGGAGCCTCGTGGGGTGGGGGGTGGTGGTGGTATTATTTTAGTTTATACCACCGCACTGTCGAATTCTACATTCTCAAGGGGGTTGATTAATTTTCTATAACCGCACACGTAGTGCCGGCCAGGCAAATCACAGTAATAAATCAATGCGCGATTATAATCTTTTATTCTAACATTATTTAACAGAAACTATAAAAGGGAAGAGTCACTTAGACACAACGCACTTAGACATCAGAAGTGCTTCAGGCTGAGGACCAGTATCTGTGGTCAGTGATTAAATACCAAAATGATTTACTGATGTAATGCACTTGTGATACAGTCATATTTTACAGTTCTGTTTCACCTGCCTAAACAATGTGGTACACATAGTCAGTAAACGCTAAGTAAGTCCAGGTTTACCTATAATGCTGCTGAATTCCAGGTGGCACCTGGAGCTAAATCAATAAAGTAATGACTGTGGTCACTTTATTAGGTACACCTGTTCAACTGCTTGTCGAAGCAATTATCTAATCAGGTAATCATATGTCAGCAGCACAGTGTATAAAATCATGCAGATACAGGTCTGGAGCTTTAGTTAATCCATCCATCCATCCATCCATTTTCTGTAACCGCTTATCCTATTCAGGATCGCTGGGGGTCCGGAGCCTATCCTGGGGGTTACGGGCACAAGGTGGAGAATAACCCAGGACAGTTAATGTTCACATTAAACTCCGGAATTTGGAAGAAAGGTGATTTTAGTGACTTGGAACGTGGCATGATTGATGGTGTCAGGTAACCATGCCGATTCAAGCTTTTCAAAACATGACAGTAACTCACATAATCACTCGTTACAACCGAGGTATGCAGATGAGCATCTCTGAATGGACAGCAAGTCGAACCTTGCAGCAGATGGGCTACAGGGTCAGCTAAGAACAGGAAACTTAGGCTACAGTGGGCACAGGCTCACCAAAACTGGACAATGGAAGGTTGGAAAAACGTTGCCTGGTCAGACGAGTCTCAATTTCTGCTGCGACATTCAGACGATAGGGTCAGAATTTGGGGTAAACAACATGAAAGCTTAGATCCATCCTGCCTTGTGTTAACAATTTAGGCTGATGATGGTGTATTATTAATAATAATAGATGCTTTATTGATCCACATGGGGAAATTCTCTTCTCAGCTCCCCCCATCTTGCTCTCCAGCAGAGCAAGCATGGCCGTGAAAGGCAACCATTGACTGGGGCAACCAGGGAGTTGGGGGTTAATGGTCTTGCTCAAGGACCCTAAGATACTGTACACCTAGGCTGGGCTTGAATCAACAACCTTCTGATCATAGGCCCACTGAGCCACTCACTGGTGTGGGGGATATGTTCTCGTCACACTTTGGGACCCTTACTACCAACTGATCATCATTTAAATGCCATAGCCTGCCTGAGTAGTGTTGCTGACTATGTTCATCCCTTTATGACCACAGGGTACCCAAGCACCTTGTTGGATCTATGCCATGAGGATTAAGGCAGTTCTGAAGGGAAAAGGGAGTCCAAACCTTTACTAGCAAGGTGTACCTAATAAAGTGGCTGGTGAGTGTATATAGTGGCTGGTGAGTGTATATAGCATATATCTTTGTACATAAAGACTTGCCTTTGGGCTCAGCAGCAGGCAACTTCTACCTAATGCCTCAGCAATGGACTTTTTGGTGCATTAACAGTGGCTTGGGTCGTATATAACCAAAACATTTGCAGGCTTGGGCCATGTCTTGACTGTAATTTAAAAAGCAACGCTATTCCGGGATTTTAAAATCCCCCAAGATACGGTTTTGCCAAAAGGAAATGCCGCGGCATGTTATGTTATCATTATAACAGTAAATAGTATAAACAGTAGTTCTACTAATACGTTTTCAAATTATAAACGTGGAAAAAAAATGTCTTCAAGTATAAACGCGTAAGCCAAATGTTTGGTAAGGGCATAAGCGGGTTAATGCACTCCTAGCTTTAAAGCCCACACTGCGGATGCAACCATGGTTCTCTCTCTCCGCAGACATACTTTTAAAGACGTATGACCAGGGATGGACATAACTGGTACGCAAGCACGCATTCACCTTTAAAAGCGATACGTGCGGCAATCGATTGTTGCAACAGCATCAATGCGTACGTATTTTATGTGCAGTTGCGTCGATATGACAAGAAATTATCGTACCTTTTATTGAAATTATTTTAACCTTTATATGCTAATTCGTACTTCATTTGCAGTATTGCGGTTAGAATGTACGGTAATTTCTTGAGAATGCGAGGCCGCCGCTACCCACAATGCAACATGTTGCCATAATTAGCATTACAGTACATGACACCACTAATTATTCCGTTAATTGCACTTTTAAGGGGCCATTGGCCTCATTATTTAAGGCTACATCACAAACCCCTTATTTGCACCAGCCTCTCACGCTACGTCTCCTTTGCCCCAGAACATTTTCCAAATTCCAGGTGCTGAAGTGTTGTCCCAACACCTTCTGCAGTGAGTCATCGAGGGCTGATTTTTGCTCAGATCGCCTCTTCACAGGGGGCATGTGGAACTCCAGGTGAGAGTACCCTTTGCGGAAGAGAAATTCACCTTTAGTGCCACCCACGCATGGCGTGGCATAAAAATTTCTATTTCAGTGACGACTTCCTCATTCATTCACTCACTCATTCCTTCCCTTGTCAGCTTCATGAACTTTCAACATGACAGTGAGTCATCGAGGGAGGTAGTGAGAGAGCAGTCAAAGAAACAATTTTGGGATGTAGCCTACGTGAATTTAAAATTTAATTGCTGAATCAGGTGTGTTTACAGGGGCGGCTGATAGCTGATTGGCCCCTGTAGTGCCTCCTCCTCTGTCACTCAACGATTCAAAACAGATCATTGGATAATGATAAGGTTGGCCCCTTTATATAAATTATGGAGCCTCTTATGCATCCTACCTTAAGAAACTCCTAGTATTGCCCCAGGGCTGAATGTACGTGGTACCATCTTCCATTTAGGATCTCAGTTTCCTTGGTAAACCTGGCTAACAGCAGTCAGCTTCGTCTGACCACAGGGAAACGGCATCTGATTGGTGGATGGAATTTAACATTTTGCTGTTTGGCGAAGTGGATGAATAATAAATGGAATTTGACGCAGTGATACTGTAAACATCTCGATTGATTTCAACCACCCCCCCCCCAAAAAAAAACACCTCAGTGGACCATACCAGCTCTATAAGACAGTTTTGACCTTTTTCGAGGAGGAAGATGTCAAATATAGTTTATGCGCTCTTGCTTTCATTCAAGCATTTACATTTTTTCATTACCATCATTTTCCAATTAACTCAGCATGCCTGTAGGGTTTTGGAAAAGAATTACAAAGATGTCGTGATGAGGTGATGCGTGACGTGGCTGGTGAGCAGGGTCGCAGGGTGCTCTGACCGTAGGGAGTGACAATCTGTCAGTCCTCTGCAGGATGCATGGAATTAACAAGTTCCACACAGACGTGCCCTGCATCTGCCTTGGGGCCATATGTGGCTTAGCAGGTTGGGATGCTGTTCTCGTTGTTGGAAGGTCATTGGTTCAAATCCCAGTGATTTTACTGTTGGGTCCCTGAACGAGTCCCTTAACCCCTGATTGCTCCAGGGACTGACCCTGCTTTCTCAAAGTCATATGTTGCTTTGGATAAAAATGTCTGCTAAAAAAATAAATTATAAATGCCCGTAGTCCAGAAGCCCCCTGCTGGGTGGGTTTCTTAATTACTTGTACACTTCATTTCACTGTTAGTTACATCATATCTGCCTGGTGAAAAGATACTGGGGGGGTGGGGGGTAATTAGCTTCTGAATCAGAGCTCTGGTGGACATGTTAGTGACTTTTTGGACTGGACACCAGTGATGTTTGAGGGTGGGTCTCTGGGAATTTGGGGAGGGAACTGATATACTGTAGGGGTGAACACGGTGGTTAATCAGAAGTGGGATGGTTTTCTGAGGAAGCATGCGATTGGCCAGCCGAATTGCCTGAACCTGACTTCTGAGGAAGCATGCGATTGGCCAGCCGAATTACCCGAACCTGACTTCTGAGGAAGCATGCGATTGGCCAGCCGAATTACCCGAACCTGACTTCAAGCACCCTTGCCCAGCATTGTCTGGTGTACTGAATGACAGCTACATCGGTGAAATCAAGACTAGCTGCCAAGGTCACCTGACTCTCCTCCTATAGATGGCCACACCCACTCCTTTTCACAGTCTATCAAAAAGATAGGATGAAAATACATGGATAAAAGGTAAAAATAATGAGCTTTCTAGGCATCTACAATTGTGCATTATACTTGACCTGGCATGTGTCAGGTGGGGGGAGGGGGACTGGTCCTGCCCATTTTGTCTGGATGAATGAAAGTGCCCGCCCCCCCTTTGATGTTCCAAGTGCCCTTTTCAGAGGTGGAAATTTCAAGTTCAGAAAGTACAAATCCAGACCAAGATTTCATTTCAACTAACCAGTTCAGTACTCTGTGAATGTGACCCTTTATACTCAACTGAGATGTGGAGGTATATCTGTCCCTGGGGGCATCACAGCAGGGAGTGTACTGCAAAATTTACCATGGGACCGAGTGGTGGACTGGCATCCCATCCAGGGTGTCCCCCTGCCTTGTGTCCCGTGATGGACTGGCATCCCATCCAGGGTGTCCCCTGCCTCATGATCCATGATGGACTGGCATCCCGTCCAGGATGTCCCCTGCCTCGTGCCCTCTGATGGACTGGCATCCCATCCAGGGTGTCCCCTGCCTCGTGCCCCGCGATGGACTGGCATCCCGTCCAGGGTGTCCCCTGCCTCGTGCCCCATTATGGACTGGCATCCCGTCCAGGGTGTCCCCTGCCTC